AGTTTAGCTCCAACCCCAATTAAACACACCTGAACCAGCTAATCAAGCTCTTATAGGCATACTAGAAACTTACCAGTAGGTGTGTTGAGGCAAGTTGGAGTTAAACTCTGCAGGACACCGGCCCTCCAGGACCGAGTTTGGGCACCCCTGCTCTACATGGTTTAGTATTGACAAAATGGTTTAATAATGACAAAACAACTTTTTTCAGAGCCTTTCTTTGTCTGACTGGATAAATACTTTTGCCGTTGCGGACAATGGAGGAGATTGTTTATTTAGTTTGCTTCCTGAAATAGACGTCGACCCCAACACTATCAGACGACGGAGATATGTACGTTTCTTTATCATGAATTAAATTCCCACATATGCAAACCTTGAATTAACATTGACTATTTTGTTCAACCCACATAGTCAGTGTACAGGACTGACATGGTCCAGTTTGAACCCGGTCAGAGGCCTGGAGATGAGGAACAGGAGGAGGAGGAAGTGGAAAATGCTGCAAGTAATCCTAGGAAGGAGCCACTGAGCTACAAAGGAGCAATCAGAAAATACTATCTCCACTTTCATGACTTGGATCTGGTGAGAAACTCAAAAAGATGACTTTTAAATGACTTTTGTGCAATCATTTTTTAATTCCATCATCGTCGAGCAGTTTTCTTCATGCCAAGGTCTCCGTGCTTGGGAATTGATGTAGGAAATCAGATTTTGAGAGTATTGATCTTTTGTTGCCACATAATCAACTTTCTTTCATTTTTACCAGAGCTCTGCGCAAAATAGTTTTTTAAAAAACAGTAAAGGGGTGCACTGCAAACCTTATCAGGCAAGCTCATGAATATTAATTATATAAAGCATTTGACAGACACTGTTATCCAAAGCAACTTATGCTGCATTAAAGGCACACATTTACATTTTATCAGTTCTTGTTTTCCCTGGGAATTGAACCCATGCTATTGCCATGCTCTACAGTGTGAACTACAGAAAATTAGGTGATTTAATATTAATATTCATAACTGTTTTGTTGAATAGCAGGCTCGCGCTGGCCATATTAGGGTTACCTGGAGGTGTCGTTTTATGTGACTGGCTAAATTTGTGTCACATAGTTCTCCCAAAAATGTAAATTCTGGCATCATTTACTCACCCTCATGCCATTCCAAACCCATAGCCTTTGGTTAATCTTCAAACCCCAAATTAAGATATTTTTAATGAAACCTAAGAGGTTTCTGTTCCTCCATTGAAAAACCAGGTAAACAAATCTTCAAAACAAATCCAAAAAGTTCATAAAGGCGTTGAAAAACAAATCCATATGAATCGTGCCATTTAATCCTAGTCTTCTGAAAAGATATGATCACTTTATATGATTTTAGCTTTTATTAACGTATAAACGCATATATATATATAGTTCATCTCATATGGGAGACACAAGATGTAAAATAAGAATCTGTTCACCATATAAAGTGATTGTATCTCTTCACAAGACTTGGATTAAACCATCTGATTCATATAGATTAGTTGGTTACACTTTACTTGAAGGGGTGTGCATAAGACTGACATGACACCTTCATAATCATGACATGACACCTACATAATCATGACATGACACATGTCATGAATATGAAGGTTGTTTATGCATGTTTATGACAACTGTCATTAAGTGTCATTCGCTCTAGTTTTATGACGCCTGTATGGATCTTTTTTGGGGTATTCTAGTTTTATTTACTTAGACTTTCAATGGAAGGACAGAAACTTCTCAAGTTTCATTAAACATTTGTGTTTAGAAGATTAACCAAAGTCTTGTGGGTTTGGAACGACATGAGGGTGAGTAATGACAGAATTTAAATTTTTGGGTGGACCATACCTTAAAGGGGTCATATGATGCTTTTTTAAAGATCATTATTTTGTGTATTTGGTGTAACAGAATATGT